ACTCGATGGCACCTGACAACAACAACAACAACAACACTTGTCTCTCAGTCACACTTTTTCTTGGATCGAGTGAAAACTCTGTAAGTTACGTCTGCCTGTTGTGTGGAGCCAGGGAAGGGAGAAGTCCGGTGGTAGACTGAGGGACAAGAGGTCTGGATGATCAGCTGATGTCTGAAGACAGAGGGGATGGAGACAGGTCTGTGGCCAAGTGACCAGAGTCCCTACTTGCTCCAGCCCCCTCTGGGCTCGACACTTCAAATCGATTATGGTCCCAAGGACTGTGCGTCTCCTAGTGCTCAGTCGGGCAGTCACCTTCAGGGTGACTTGAACGCCTCCATGTGCCTCCTTCTTAGCTCTTCTTGGAAATGGGCCTTCCTATCTAACTCCAGGAGTCCTGATGTGGCGCTGTGGGTTAACGCGCCAGACTGCAAAGCCATTTAAACTGCGAAGTCAGTGGTTCAAGCTCACCAGCTGCTCCTCAGAAACCCTATATAGGGTCGCTATGGGTCGGAACCGACTCGACGGCACTTCACGACAACAACATTTAACTGCAAGGAGCCCTGGTAGTGTAGCGGTTAAGCATTGGACTGCAAACTGCAAGATTGCTCTTCGGGAGAAAGATGAGACTTTCTGCTCCTGTAAATATTTACTGCCTCAGAAACCCTATCCAGTGTTGCTATGCGTGGGAACGGACTCGATGGCACACCACCACCACCATCTAACTGCGGGGCTGTCACTTGTCATTGTTTCATCAAGGAGGAGGAGTAGCTTGAGACTATCTGACATATATCCACCTGTCCACCCAATAATCTACCCACCCACCAGCCTGTCCACCTGGCCGTTAATCATCCTTCCATCTACCCACCCACTCACCTACCTATCAACCTGCTGATTTACGCATCTATCATCCATCATTCCATCCATCCTTCTTGTTGTTAGGTGCTGTTGAGCCAGTTCCGTTGACTGTTATAGTGACCGTATGCACAACAGAATGAAGCACCGCCCTGCCCTGTGCCAGCCTCACAATGTTGTTTTGTTTGAACCCAATGTTGCTGCCACTGTGTCCGTCTATCTCGTTGGGAGTCTTCCATCCATGTATTCACCCATAAATCCAACCATTCTCCAAACCACCTGTCTCCACAGATCCATCCATCCATCCATCATTCATTATTCCATCCACCTTTTCTTTTCCCCTTTCATTTAGCCATTCTTCCATCCACTTATACACCCATCTATACCTGTATATAGATTCAACTACCTAGCCACCCACCCCTGTATTGGCCTTTCACCTATCTCCCCATTTATCCCATGCACCCATTCATGCATTCACCCTTAAATCTAACTATCCAGCCACCCACCCATCCATACATCCATCCATACATCCACCCAGCCAGCCAGCCAGCCAGCCACCCATCCATCTATCTACTTATCCACCCATCCACCCATCCATCTACCCACCCACCCATGTATCCATTCATCCACCCACCCCACCCATTCATCCATCCATCCATCCATCCATCCATCCATCCA